ATGACCCCTCCATCAGGCGACCCCCGAGCTCTGCAGCCTCCAGGAAGGCCTGCCCTACCTGGACATGGTGATCGCAGAGACCTTGAGGATGTACCCGCCAGCTTTCAGGTAACCCCGCAGCCCTGCACCTTGCCCCACACCCCGGCTTTTGCCATCCATTCCCCCTGTCCATTTATTCATTCATTCAGCGACTGTTCATTGAGCATCGGCTCTGTGCCAAGCACTAGGAAATCAGCCACGTATAAAACCCGTGTCCTTGGAGCTGACACTCCAGGGAGCCCTCCAAGGCCTGGGATGCACCTTCCTGCTCCCCAATAACCTACATCCATCCCATCCTCAGAACTGCAGCCCAAGACTCACCACGCCAGGCGGCCCCACCCAGCCACAGCACCCCTGTCCCTCCCTGCCCCGCCCCCCAGCTCTTTCCATGGTAATAGTGCTGCATGTTATATCCTTGGACACAACCTCTCCACAACACATCTCCAAGGCCCATCCAGCCACACCAACCTGTCGGTGCCTTGAGAACGGGAATCAGGTCTTCTGCTTTTTTTTTTTCCAAACTCCTCCTAAATGAGGCATCTCATGAAGCATGGGGTCTTAACTCCGATTCTCAGGTCCTTCGAGGGTAAAACAGTGGCCAGATTTCAGGCTCTAGAAACAGAAACAACACAAAGCATTTAACTGCATCTCATAAATCCCACCGGCACGTCTACGGATTAATATACCACATAAAGCATACGGAGATACCTTTTGCCATTTGAAAAGAGACAATGTGGACTATTTGAAGGTATCTTAAAATTATATTCCAAACCGAAAAACATCACTAGAGAGTGTGTTTGTAGATATTGTCCAAATGTTCGGACCCAGAGCAAATACAGGGGATTCCAGGGCGTGCATCCAACCGCCGGTTCTCAAGCACACGTGGTTTCTGTCTCCCGGTCTGGGAGCCGCGTGCTGGCAGCTTGCACCTTCTCCTAACGCCAGTGTTAAGACTGACTCTATGGGCTTTGCCTGATCTGGGGGAGCCGCAAACTGTACCCACTCTTCATTTTTTAATGATTTATCTCCGGCTTCCTTCCAAGGGAATTGTGGGCAGCCGCTCTACACATTAAAGTGAAATTCAAAGTAAGACATTCAGGGAGAAAACAGAACAAAGGCTGTTGAAAGGAAAGAAGCCTTTATGGGGCCCCGGAGATGGCCAGGAAGCAGGGTCGGGCTCGCCTCGGTGCTGCGGCTCCTGGCCCAAGTGAACCCCGCTGAGCTCAACAGTCGTGTTGGCCAGTGGGAGGGAAGTGTATAAACTCATCAAAGACACATCATTTCCTGGATCTAAACTCAATCACGAACTCATCACATGAGACCTTGAATAGATGATGTGCTGAGTGACAAAGCCATCAGGCTCTTTTCAGCACCAAAACGCTGTGGCCAATTCTCTTACTAACTCTTTATCAACAGCACTGTGTACGAGGAAGTCAGGAAAGTCACTGCTCTGGGGAACCAGCATGCTGGCGATCTCACCTGAGGGCAGGACAGAAACCAGAGGATCTGGATGAATGTGTTAAAAGTCTCTCAACAAGTCACATGTAGTGCCAGTGCTCCGTTGAATGACAGAACGTGTCTAGACAGAAAGTTAAGGCAGCCTGGGCCCGGCCCTTAGTTTGCTGTGTGATCTTGAGTAAGTCCTGTCCTGCTCTGTGCTTCTGTCTCCTGGGTGTTGAGTGGACACACACACCTGCCTCGCCTGCCCCACAGGAGTGTAGTGAGTAACAATGAGATAATAAACAGCCCCACAGAAAAGGTAACAATTCTCGTTGAATTATTATTAATGTTCAGAATCCAGGATCCTATGCAGTATAATTCAGCAGATTTTTCTGGCCTTTTATGCAGCCGAGTCTAGCCCAACCATGTATGGAAGGGAAGGCCCGGTTATACGGCTTTTAGGGGGTCACGCATCCAGGTCCCAGCTACTTCTGGTAAAGATGAAAAAGAAGGGGTGTCAGGGGACAGCTTTGTTTGATCCCTCCGGGACTGAGGCTGCACCCATCAGAGGCCCCCCATGCCTGTTGTGACTTGAGCACCGGTGTTTTGCTACCAGCTCCAAGCACATGCTAACTGCATGAGCGACTTAGGATCTGGATGGGGGTCCCACAGCCCTGGTCTTCCACGTTCCCAGTTCTTATATCAAAGGCTCATAACAGAGCGATCGATGATGCAAGGAGCTGTCGGTTGCTCTTAACTTCTTTTATAAGCAGAAACAGGGTATAACGGTAATGAGTGTAATAATTTTATCTCCTCTAATATAGTTAGGGAAGCCCAGTCCTAGCACTTAAAGTAAAAGCCAGCATAGATTATTTTTAATTTTTAAAAATAATTATTTATGTTATGAAAATAATAGGCTTATACTTAAAATGAAAAACCCTAGCCAATACGGAAGGATCCAAAGAAAAAGTGGCACACCCGGCCCCCTGCCATCCTTCACCTCAGTCCCGGCCCCTTCAGGAGACAACAGAAGAAGTTTAGGTATTCTTCCAGAAATTGAAGGTTCATATGCAAACAAACGTAGTCTAACCCTTAAAAATACAACATACACAGGATTATGTTGTGGCTATTTGATAAAATAAACAATCTGACCAGTAATTTCCCTCTCTAGTACAAGTTATCCACAGAAACCTAGACAGTGAATGGGGAACCGATTTTCAAACCCAAAATTCCCTTAGGTAAAAAAGCATGGGGGTGGGTGAGGGCAATTAAAAGAGGCTTGACTGTGGAAGACGATGAGGGAGGGTATGCCCAGGGGAATAACCCTGTAAGCCTCCCCCCAAACAAGCCCTTCGAGGGCGTCTCTGTGCCCCAATATCAGCCATGAATGGGCTCTTCAGGCTGTATGGATGAACGAAGGATCAAAACTGTGAGGGCAATTAAAAGAGGCTTGACTGTGGAAGATGATGAGGGAGGGTGTGCCCAGGGGAATAACCCTGTAAGCCTCCCCCTCCCCCCAAACAAGCCCTTCAAGGGCGTCTCTGTGCCCCAATATCAGCCATGAGTGGGCTCTTCAGGCTGTATGGATGAAGGAAGGATCAAAAGGTCACATGCATTTTCACCAAGGACCAAGGGAGTCTCGAGCGTCTAGAGAATGCGGGTCCTAAGCAATAGAGGGGTTTATGCCTTGAGGAGTTGGAGTGAGGCTTGGTCCCCATCGGGGTCACCCAGGGAAGAGGACTGGGCCTCCTGTCCCCCCAGCCTCATTTGCACCTCAAACTTAGACCCCCCCTTTGCCCCGCCCGGTGCAACCACCTGCGGGCTCTCCTCATGTCTGCTCTGCAACAAGGCGGGGGTGACCCGTGTGTCGCCGCAGGTTCACGCGGGAGGCGGCAAAGGACTGCGAAGTGCTGGGGCAGCGCATCCCCGCCGGCACCGTGGTGGAGATGGCCGTGGGCGCCCTGCACCGCGACCCGGAGCACTGGCCCCGCCCCGAGGCCTTCGACCCGGAGAGGTAAACACCGCCCCTTCAAATGGGTCCCTGAGGGCCGTGAGTGTAAGGGGATTGGAGGCGGCTGCAGGGAGACACAGATTCGGTAAAGATTTAGTAAAGTCAGCCCCAGACAGTCAAAAGTCGGCAATCAGAGGTTGGCGAGGCATAATTATTTCTGAAGGAAATAACTGCACCATTTTTTAAAATTCCCTGAGGGAATCCAGAAAGTTATCATTTCAGCAGCACTGTATGCGAGGAGCAAGGCAATTTCAAATGGGTGTCCTCTGTCTGTTCGAGCCAAGAAACAGGACACAGGAATCAAAGTGACAAAACGTCCTTTCCTTTTTTAAAAATTGGAACCTGTTTCAAAACAAAGAGTATCAACCAAATTTCTCCAGGAATTCCTGAGATCCAGCTATGCTAACACGGTGGGCCTGGATCTCCCTCCTGTACCTCACATGAATTTGGTCTACTATCTAAATTTCATTCCTAGGCTCCCGGACTTAGAATGACTGAGCAGGCATCCGCACCCCTGCTCATCAGAATCTACCCATATCCCTTCCTTGTGCGATCTGGCCAGGGGAGGGCGGGCCAAGCACCTTCAGCGCTTCCAGCTTCCTGTGGAACTGCCAACCCGGTCACTGGGAAACCGTGGGCAGCGGGCAGCGAGACCTAGATAAATACACCCTGCTGCGCAGCGGCTTCTGGAAACACCGCAAAAATCAAGCACCGTAAACAGTGGCTGCAGAGCTTACAGCAGCACCTTTGAAACAAAAAGTGCATTAATATGAGGTTGAAAAAGGGTGGGGCAAGGGCTCCTGGGCCCAGGAAAAGTCCAGAGGGAGTAAGCAGTGAGCTGGCTACGTCCCAATGTCACAAACACGCCGCTCATGCTGCCCGTTTGGTAGCAGACAGGCAACTCCTCCGAGGAAGGGCTTCCAGGGGTTCATTACCACAGCCTCCAATCGTTCAATTTCACCGCTCGGGACCAGAAAGGCAAGTGTGGGCGAGGGTGACAAACTGGCGGGACCTGGCCTTCGGGAGGACTGGTGAGGAGGGCCAGTGCCCCAGAACTCTCCTTAGGAAGTGCGTGATGGCTGGCGCCACCCTCTGGCTGATGGGGAAGCTGGAGCCGGGGGTGCAGGTAAGGGCTGGGGTTTCTTTGAGACTCTCATCCTTCTGGTGTGCAGTGGGCCCGAAGGCTCGTTAACGACGCAATGAATTCGTAAGGGGAGGGCAGGAGGGCCGCAACGAATTTCTAGGGGATTCTTTTAATTCAGCAGAGACTTTGCGGGAAGCTCGTGGATTAGCAGCCACCAGCTCCAGAGCCTTACGGACTGATCCATGAGAAAACAGGATTCTGTTGACCTCGGTGGGGTTTAGGCCGCTTGGTAGGAGCATGGCCTCGAATGTAGGGGACCCTCTGCCAGACCGAGTGGCCGAAGACACCACAGGAAGCGTGACGGGTGTCCTGGGCCAACCCTGACGGCGCTGCCCCACAGGTTCACGGCGGAGGCCCAGCGGCGCCGGCGGCCCTTCACCTACCTGCCATTTGGAGCGGGGCCCCGGAGCTGCCTCGGCGTGAGGCTGGGGCTGCTGGAGGTCAAGCTGACGCTGCTCCACGTCTTCCGGAAGTTCCGGTTCAAAGTCTGCCCCGAGACTCAGGTGAGCCCCCTGCAGGTGAGCCCTGCCGCTCTGGGTTCAGGACTGCTCACCCAGTTGTTATTATTGTTGTTGTTTGGTTGTTGTTTGGTTGTTTGTTGTTGTTTGGTTGTTGTTATTATTCTCTGTACAGCAGGGCTGGGGCTCGTGATTCTGCAGCTGTTCCCTCTTTGGCAAAGAGAACCCAGTAATCCTGCAGAATAGGTTTTATTATTCCCAATGTTCAGACGAAGAGCTCAGAGAGGTTAAGTAACTTGCCTGAGGTCACATAGTTGGACTGCAGACTCCATGAGGACAAGGACCATATGCGTCAGTGGACGCTCCAGCACCCAGCTTAATGCCAGGCTCACTCATTCATTCGACAAACATTAACGAATGATTGGCTAGCCAGAGTGAAGAAAGTAGAGTTAGACCCAGATCTTGCTCAGCACCCAGCTTAATGCCAGGCTCACTCATTCATTTGACAAACATTAACGAGCGAGTGATTGGCTAGCCAGAGTGAAGAAAGTAGAGTTCGACCCAGATCTTGCCCCCTCCCAAGCCCAAGCCCTCCCTCTTTCCTCTACATCCAGCGGCCTCTCTGCACGACCTTAGCCGTTCCCGACACAACTGGAACCTTGCTCTCCTCCATGCCTCTTCGGAACCCCTCACTGGGGACGGATAATAAGGACATGCTGAGGGATGGTGACAACTTCCAGAGAGCGGCATTGCCCCTGACAAACGGGGAAACCGGTCCAGGAGGAATAATGAGTTTAGTTGGGGTACAAAAGATTGTGGTATTGGATGTGAAAATGTCCACAAGGGTCTGACGGTCAAGGCTGGAGAGAGGGCGAGACAAATTGGAAGCACAGAGCCAAAGCAAGACAGATGAAGAGAGAAAGCAGGCCCTGACTGCCCTAGGGATCCATGTGTGTAGAACTTCCTTCTGGAGTTTGTCTCAATTACACTTGATCTTGATAAACGGTAGAGCAGCCAGACCAATGTCCCCAAACACAGCTTAACCCCGGCACTCCCCAGCTCAAAAGCCAGCCGTGAGTCCCAAGCCTGCTGGGTCCAGGGAGAACTCATCTGAGCCCACTTCACAGTCCCTGCCCCAACTTCCCACTCGGAGAGGTCCACCCACTTCTCCCTGCCTGCGCGAGCTGCTGCCCAGACGTGGAATGCCATCCCTCTTGCTACCTGCTCCCAGTCCATTCCCATCCTCTAAGTCATTTGGTATTGCCTCATATCCCAAAGTGCTCACAGGGCTTTTCCCATTCATTGCCCTACCCAGGCATCACTTCCAGGAAGCCCTCCCTGACTTTGCCAGCCCCACTGAGTTCTCCTTTATTTGAAGTCCCGTGGTGTTTCAAGTTTGTGTAATACAGTAGCCGCTATCCATGTGTGGCTCTTTACATGTTAATGAAAGTTAAATAAAAAATTCAGCTCCTCATTTACACTAACCACATTTCAAGCACTCAGCAGCTAAATACACTCGTGGCTACTGTACAGGATATTGCAGGTCTAAACTATCTAGCTTCTTGGTTGTAAAACTGGTCTCCCATCTAACTCTAATCTCTAAAGACATCTGAAGGCTAGTGATTCTTCTTTCCTCAAAAGGCTTCAACAATAGCCACTGAACTATCATTTTACACACAGCTTAAGGGGACATCCTGCTTCTCACGTATTTGGCTTTCCTTCCAAGTTCCCGGTCCACCATTGATTTGCCTTGTAAGTTGGGCATAAGGAAAGCTTTCTGAATGGTAGTGAGGCCAGACCACAGCATGCACGAACAGGAAACAGTATGAGACTGCTCTCCCCCAAAGCCCCTGGGAAAAAGAGGGGGCTGCTCAGTTACGGGCTGGGCACCAGGGAGGGAAATGAGAAATGAGTTCGTGGCTTTGCTTTCCCCTTTCTGGTCATGTGACCTTAGACAACTCACTCGGCCTCTCTGAACCTTCATTTCTTCATTTGCAAAGTGAGCCGCAAGCACCTCTTACTCAGGCTTCGTGGGGCTAAGTACCCTTCTCACCCGCAGGATTTTATTAACACAGGAAAGGGGGTTGAACACTGGTGCTGCTGGGCCCCCAGTGCCCAGTCCCAGAGACAGCCCTGCTGGCTTCTCAAGGTCCCGCTGGGGACGCTGCTTTGCTCACTCCTAGCCCAGGTATCCCTCAGCCGACTTTCCAGAATCCTGCTTCAGGGCCGGTTCTGAGAAAGTTTTCCTGTCGATGTGTAACTGTGACAAATATTTTAATCTCCTCTATTGTAGGTGCCACTGCAGCTAGAATCCAAATCTGCCCTAGGTCCGAAAAATGGTGTCTACATCAAGATTGTCTCCCGCTGACAGTTAAGAGGGCACCCCCTAATTCGAGGAAAACTTTCATGTGGAAATTCAGATATTTGGGGAGACATCACCTTAGCCATTGAAAGGGTGTCTGGAATGCAAGTATACAAGAAGTCATTTACATAACATGTCCTAAATGCTTAATAAATGTTTGCTGCACTTAGTTTCGACTTTGCCAATGGTGTTTGAACCACTGATCCGCCTTTCTCAAAAAGGGATTGCTGATAAATAAGCAAAAATGTAGTTCTGACAAAATGACTGGGAACTCAAGGTGTTGAAGAAGTCCTGGCCTCAGGAAGGAAGGAATCTATGGGCGGGGGACACAGTGACGTTCAGGTAAGCTGTCCTGACAGCACCAGCTTATGGGCCTTTTTAGCTTCTGGTGCGTTGTGGTGTTTGACTTAGAGAATGACATTCATCAGAAGCTCAACTTCAAAAGTGGCTTAAAAGCTTTATTTTGCTTTGATTTTCCAAGATGGGGTAATACCAACTCTATAGTAAGTTTCAATGTACAGAAAACTGAGGCTGAAGAGTACTTTTTCTTTTAAAGAGTGTATCTTTTCATTTTAATCAATCAAAATATAGAGGTAAATTTGAGTAAAAAGTATTGTATTGCCGAGAAGCTCAAATTCAACAAAGAACTTGCAAAGTGAATCCCAGACCTACTACTAGCAGCCGTGTGGGCGTGGCTGCCGGCCCTTCTACCTCCCTGTGCCTGTTTCATCTGTAAAACAGGGAGGCTGACCTAGATCAAAGACCCCATTCTCTATCTGACACCTGAGCAACGTTAAGGGGCTGACGGTCACATTGGTAACAGAAGGAATCCATCAGCATGGAGGTGACCCGCCTTTAGAAAGTTCTGGCTGTTTCCTGAGAAATGGCAAAACAGGTCTCCACATATCCACAGCTGAAAACGCTACCTCTGCTGCGCAGTCCTCTCCCCTCCAGCCCAGGGCACCCCTTGCTTCCCTCAAAGGGCTCCCCTGGAGAGCCCCCGTCTCTCTCTGGCCTCCCTGGAGAAGGGCTGTCTTGTTCCCCAGCACTGTCTCAGGCCTAGTTGCTGCCCGTCCTCTGGGAGGTCCCACCAGGCCATCACACGGCCTTTTCACACACTTGCTGCCACCACCTGCTCATCTCTGGGATCAAGCCCCTTTGAGATGCCTGGCCCAGGACTGAGTCACTGGAGAAAACCATCCATTCCCATTCCTGGTGACCTATCTGCCTCCCCTGACTACCCCGCCTGTCTCCCTGTTCCTGATCCCCATTCCTGACCCGTGGCCATCACAAACCTCATCCTGGAGAAGGCCCAGCTGAGCACCTGGCTCCTTACTTGGAGTGTTGGTCTACAACTTGTGTCCCCAGCTCATCGGGTTCATTGGCTTCCCTCACCTCCATCCAGGTGGTCACCACCTTCAGACACAGCAGAGAAGCATCCTCATGTGCTAGAATCGCTGGACTCCCAGTCCTGCCAGTTTCCACCGCACCCCCAGCTCTGCTTAAACCCCACTGATTACACCAAACAACTAACACAGGACAGGAAATGGCAGGAAACGGTACTGACTGGGTCCTCCACAAAACCCTTCAGCTCCATCTTAGCTGGGCCCTGAAGACGATTTCTTGGCAATTACACATACCCTTGCCCTGGATCCCACTACCTCTGTGCACTAAGGTTCTGAAAGTCACGGTCATTTTGACTTCTTCCAAGGACAATGCCCACCCTCTCCCGTGCCCACAGGAAGAGCTCCCCACCCCCACCCTGCAACCTGCCCACATGCACCCCACCCCAATCTCAAAGTTCCAGTCCAAGTAGTTGCTGTTCCTGACTTGCTTTCTCAAAGGTCAGCAAATCCATAGGTGTCTGCAGTCTTCATAGCTCACTTGACTTTTCTGGAGCATTTGATCACTTCCCGTCCCAGGTTCCTCTTGCCCTTCTTCCCATCTACACTTCCAAAGGACCATTCCTGTTTCCCGCTCCTCAGTTCCCAGAAGCCAGGTGGTTAAAAACCATGGCATCAATTCATCTGTATGTAAGACTTAGCAGGCGAGCACTGATTTAACGGTTTTGACACGCCTCAGGCTTCCTCACCTACACTGTAGGAGGACCAACGACTTAATCAAAAGCAATGAATGAAATTCCAGAATTAATCACGATGTGGGAAATATTTTGGGGGCTCTGAAAATCATATCATACACAACTAGGTCCTGATGGTGGATAAGGTAGTATTGTTGTCACTTCTTCATTTTTCTGGTCAGTTAACTCAGTTCTCTCTGGCTTGATTAGTCGACCTGTGTCAAGTTCCAGGTCATTTTGCCCCTGTTCCAAAGCTTGGATCTGAGAACTACAGGACAAAATCAACTGAACTGGAGGCACTGCATGGAGAGGGAACACATCGTATTAGGAAGGGGGTGAGAAGGGTACAGGTGAGGAGAGAAGCCTGCTGCTGAGAACTGAACCTGGAGGCCAACAGGTACAGCACCTGGGAGGGGGCAGACAGCTTCATAATGGGGAGCCATCCCGCCAGACCCTCTGCCCTGGGGCCAAAGCCAGCCAGTGCCCAGCAGAGACTGTATAACCAGCCACGTGTGGAGGACACGCACAGGACACGCCCACTCTCCCCGTGTCCACAAGTTTGCTCAACAGTGATACAGTAATTTTAGGCTTTGTAGGGCTTGGAACTTATATGAGGTGGGGAAAGAGAAAAAAATACAAACATGTAACTTCTGCAAAATGTATGGCCATAGCCAGGGCCCCAGCAAGTGAGGGGCCCTGAAACTTCAGCTTCATGATAAATTCACACACAGCCCCCCGGAGGCCAATGACCTGTCACATCCCGACACCCAGAAAAGTGCCTGTATCCAGCAGGTGCTCAACACACAGACGATGAAGAATGGAGCTCGGTCACCACCCACTTCAGATAAATATTCTTTTATTTCCATACTCTATTGTGACATTTGCAGCACAGGTATTCTAATCTCATGGGGACATAAAACCCATATTCAGAAGATGTCCAGTGAGCTTAAGAGACATAGGGATAGCATTCAGGGATAGCATTCACGGACCGTGCCCGTGACAAAGGGAAACCAGCAGGGACTCGATGACACCCACAGTAGCCACTTGTCTGACAGTGTAACAGATGGCCTAATACCAAGTCCAGAAGCCCAAGAGAAGCAGCAGAAAAGCTGCCTGGATTAGAGCCAGAGCAACGGACACAATGACTGTGCCTCCCTAGGCCACAAGGTAGGCTTTTCCATACCATAGGCTACTGTGTTATTCTGACAAAAAAAAAAACCAACAAGATGCCACCAAGATCCTGAAAAATTAAATCACTGGAGAGAAAGAAATTCTTAAAAATTAGAACCAATCCATAAAATAGTATCTGGAAACTCTGTGACTGGTGCCAATCAGCAGCAAAGTCAACAAAGAGTAAAAAAAAGCTTAACATCCTAGTAAAAAGCAGTAATGGGCTCGCCTACAATCACTACTGGTTAGCCCGCCACCGAAATCAAGTGACTTAAAACCGAAAACTACTATCAGCAAGAGATTAAGAATGTAACTTCATCAAGAAGTCAACATTAAACAGTTCATTAAAAGCTTTTTCGTTTAAAAAACAAACAAACAAAAACCCCCAAAACCCACTTTCCCAAATAGCTATTTCAAGGAAGACAAGCCTGAAACACATAAAACGTCCTCGTGTTCACTCCCGGAAGCCAAAGAAGGATGACAGGGAAAGCAGGCTGAAGGCCCCGGTCGCAGGCTTGGCCGACGTGGTGTACTGGATGACGTACTCTGGGTAGACCTGGTGCTTCTCGAAGACCACAAAGATGGAAGGGTCGGACATGCTGTTCACGCAGCTGTCGTAGAAGACGTTGCCCTGGCCCTCCTTGGCTGGGGGGCGGACGAAGGAGGTGTTGCCTCGAGTGAACTCGCCCACCAGCACCCGAGCCAGGAACATCGTGTGCACCTTTGAGCTGGATTTGCTGTAGTGGTGGGAATACGCAGCATCTCGGGCGAAGTAGCTCCCTGCAAGGACATGTATGGGCTCAGCTGGACACTGGGAGGACAGCCACAGCTGGGAAGAGGCGGCTCTACTGTCCTGTCAAGCAGGCAATGCCAGTGGCTTCTGAAACCAAATGTCCCTCCTGCTCTCCCTCCATCCTTCCTTTCTCCAGCCTTCCTTCGTGAAGGGCATCAGAGGGGACACCAAACTCTGAGACAGAAAACTCCTTTCAAGTTTTGAATCTGTCACCCAAATCCTAAGGCTCTGTGGATATAACATTACTTAACCCCCCGAACCTCAGTTTCCTCAGTTATAAAATGGGACTGCCATGCCCAGCCTCATAGGGTCGGTGTGGAAGGTGACCAAGATCTCATACATGGAGCCACTCTGTAGCCACTGGCAGCCCAGTGTATAGTATTATGAACTACTGGGCATCTGAGTTGAAAGCTGCCACCTATACATTCGGATTTACCACTGGCTCACGTGCATCCTGACGCCACAGCCATCACATTGGATTAAGGCTAACTGCTGGAACGGAATAGGGACTGCTGATTGTAGTATCACATCCTTATAAAATTTTCTCAATTTAGTAACCATGTTGTGGAGACAGAAGATAATGTCCTTTTTCTTAGGTGTTAAGGGGTGAAGGGGCATGATGCATGCCACCTACTTACAAACGGTTAAGAAAAAATGGGGGGTGATAAAGTCAACCTGGGAAAATATTAAAACGGATGAATCTAAGTAAACCTAGGAATGCATGCAGTTTTAAAGATATTATTCTTGCAATTTTCTTGTGAATTTGCAATTATTTCCAAGTAAACTTTAAAAATAACCAAGAGATGGGAAAACATGCAGATGACTCACATTATAGCTAGAATCACATATTTACTTGAGCATATCTGAGGTATTCGGATTTCTATTCTAACAAAACAGCACAGATACCCCCTTTCCTCTCCTGACTTGGGGCCACCATCTCCCGGGGCCTCCCCTCCACAGAGACGCAGGCCCATCCCTGAGGAAAGCAAAATTCCAGCCTACACAGGGCCGACCTGCTCAAACCATGGGTCAGGCTCCTGGCTGCACACCAAGGAGTGAGAGAAACGGCGCCGCCAGCTGTGCATCCTACAGACGGCCAGGGGCCATTCCTCACCGAGTATGAACCAGCTCATCAGCTTACCTTGCCCGCCTCACAACCACCACTGTCAATTGCTTTAAAATGGTTTCCTATGCCCTGGACGATGCAGTGAGGCAGGGTTCTGCTGGAGGCCGCCTTCGCCCTTACCTTTGCCATAGGAAGTGCCATGAAGACCACAGACCCGCCAGTCAAAGTTCTGCTGGCAGATGGCTTCGACGAAACTGGCACTGGTACCATGGAACAGCTGCCTCTCATCCACCGCCTTCCCTTCATTTCTCTTCTGCATCTGCCCTTTCTGCCTAGAATCACAGGAGAGAAATGTGTGCTGGAGGCAGAGGGTACTTACCGCCCAAGAAAACACGTTTTATTAGAAATGGCATGAGACCAGGATAAACGGGTCTAGGCCCATCAGACTCCAGCCATGGGCCAGGGAAGGAGAAGGCAGAGAGCGAGCCCTGGGTGAAAAGCAGAGGGAAACTTTTCCCTCCAGCCCAAGGCCTTTGGCAGCTCCTGGAACTCTCCAAGCAGACCAGCCTTTGGAAGGCAGGTGCACTTCATCCCCACCACCTTGCTTCCACCTGGAGCTGAGCCGGGGGAGCCTGAGGATGCTGGTCATTGCGGGGGCCATCCACCTTTCTTCTGCAGATTACCCTGATTTCATCACTGGACCCAGAGTACAGATGAGACTGCTCTAACTTCTTGTGAGGACAGGAAAGCAGGACCCCAAGCCCCCCATGGTGACCTGCTGCGGATCTCTATCCCGTATGTACAGTGCCCCAAAACATGCTGGTCCTGAGGCACAAAAATGAGGCCCCTGCACTCTGGCTGTCAGGACAACGGCTTTATGTTCCCTCGGGTGTGGGTGACATGCTGAACCATCCCGTCAATCTTTAGAGAGGCAGAATGTGTAAGTGCGGCTTTGTCAACGGGGATATCTCAGTTCTCTTCCCTCTGAGAGGATGTGCCAGCACTAAGCTATAAAGATGATGAGACAGACAGGAAAGCTGGGACACAGCTCCCGATTCTAGCAGCCCTGGGCAAGCAGTAGCTGCTATCTGGGATCGTCCCTGAAGCCCAGAACACATCTGGTAAGCAGCTAGCCTACCACATACAGGTCTCAGGGTACAGAGTCACCAGCCTGCCAAGAGCAAGCCCCCAACATACCACTGGTAGACTTCCCAGAGAGCCAGGTTCTGGACTCGCTCAATCTTCTGGATGCAGAAGGGCAGCGTATGATTAAAGAGGTTCTGGACCTTCTGATATTCTTCTGAGGAAGAACTGAGGGCGATCAACTGCAAGGGGCAAATATTTTTATTATGTTACCGTCAAAGTGTAGAATATAGATCAATCTCTTCCCAAGACTGCTCCTAAAGTGACAGAACTGCAGAAGCAAGACCAGACAGTGATCATCCCTCCCCTTTGCCCCGAGGTGTATTTCTCCAGGCCCAGGATGTGTGCAATTTGTGTTCGCTGTGGAACCTGCCTGAAGGACAGGCATGTGATGCTTAGCACCATCCTGGGTGTCCCCAGGATGTCTCTGCTCTCTTGACCACACACAGGCAGACTACACAGTCTACAAGCCCGGAGTGAACGTCAATAAATGTGGAATGCATACATTTGGTAGAGAGGGGGCGAACGCGCCACAGGCAGCAGTGTTGCATGAGTGCCCCACGCCACAAGCGCCGACAGAAGAGCCAGGCTGGAGGGCAGGCACAGAGTAACTCAGGAGCATGGCTGCCATGTCCCTCCAAGCTGAGCCCAGCTCTCCCTTAGCCTCTTGCTCTGGGAAACAGAACTTTGGAAGGGCCCGGAAGGGCCCCTGACCAAGGGCACACTGTCGCACAGTGACAATCCACAAATTCCTGCACTTGCAGCTTAAACTCTAACCATCCTCCCTGGTCCCAGTTCCACGAGGCCTGATCCAGTGATAGCCTATTTGGAGATCTTTGGGGAGTCCCTCTACACCACCCCCTCCCCCACCCCAAGGGCAGCCCTATAACCACCACCTCACCCCCAAAATTCCTAAATGATCAGGGCTGGGCATGGATGTCCACAGGTCTCCTGAAACGCAAGTCCTGACTCTGGCTGGTTTCCCTGCTCCCACCTCACTGGAAGCCACCAAACTACTCTTCTTGGAGTATGGAACCGACCCTGCCCCTGCCAGACCAGAGATTGTCAAAGGCTCCCACACCTGTCATGGCCGCTGCTCGGCCCCAGGACCAAGGTGCTCACAGCACAGCCTTGACCTCCTTCCTGCCCCCCACATCTATGTACACCTCCATCTAAGACACGCCTGACCCGTGTCCTGAACTGGGTGCTTCCCATTCAGTTCCCCTAAACTTTTACGTTCTTCTCCCACCTCCGCCTGTACAAGCACCAGTCACCATTTAGATGTGGACCCTGTGATGCCTTCCCTGATCCCCTCAATATGGCTGCCTCGTCCTCTGACACTTGAGTGCTGCTGTCAATTCGCCCAGCCCTTCGCACGTCTTGCCTGTGCTGTTGGTGCCTGTGTGAACTTTGTACAAATCAATGAGATGAGTCCTCCCAGGGCAGTGACTGTTATATTGTAAAAGCTGATTTGTGCAGTGCTTGGCAGCAGGCCAGCCATCAGAGGCCAGTCCAAGTGCCCCACATGGATGGGGCAGCATCAGACACTGGCCTGAGTAATCTACTGAACTCAGCGCAGCTCCTATTATCTGGCGGACCCTGCATGAGCTGCTGAATTGACTATTCCTTCTCTGGTCTTCTACTATCTACCACCTTCCAATAGCAACTTCTCCTCTAGATGTCCTTCCTCGTACTCAAACTGTCCCCTGGTTTCGTTTCTTTTTCTAATATTTACTGGCTGAGCCCTGCTCTTAAGCTCTTTATTTCTGCTCTTTCTAGAAAATTTCCAGCTCCATCCTCCATCCACAATATATCCTTTCCCCTCAGGGCCACAGCTACCTCGTGGATGATCTCCAGCTCTAAAATCCCCAAGACCTGAAGGGGGGGAACCACATACACCTCTGCCCTGCCCCTCTCACAAGCCCTGGCCTCTCAGCTTCTTCGCAGTGGAACAAACAGGACAGTTGCTCATATTCACCTATCTCTAAGAACCTATCTCTCTTCCCCAGCCCAAGCCAGCACAAGTCCCATACCTTAAAGCCGAGGTCTGGCAGAGCCGAGGGGTCCCAATGGTCTGGGATGCTCTTTGGGCCTGGAAACTTGACACTGCTACAAAATGTAAACAGAAACACTAAGACATTTAGTTTTCAGATGCAAGCAGACTATCACAGGTGGCCTCCACTAGCCAAAACCACCAGTCTCGAGTCTCAGCATCTCATTTTGTAAAAGCGGAGGGGGAAAGCAGCACATAAGCATACTATCCACCTTCTGAGAGCACTTTTGTTCTTTGCCTAAGTGGCCCAAACTGAAACAATCAGGCCTGAGGAATCCATTTCTCACCTGTATCCCAACTCCTGCACATAAGGAAGAGAGCATATGATTAAAGCGGTACACACAAACCCTTCCCATGATTTTGAAATTCAAAGAGTTCTGAAACTTTTAAGACCCCTGAAATTTTTATTAAAGAGCTCTGAATGATTACTAAAAATAGCCTCAATGAAGTGTAAATGGCATATAAAGGCATTTTTTAAAAACATAAAATTGATGTCAAAACTCAATTCGACAGTAGAAATTTTACTTGAACTGCTATGAGGCTACTTTCAGTCTCTATATATCCTTTTTAAATTGACTATGCATATTGTTTTTTACTACAAAAATATTAAATTAATGACAGTGTTTTATGATCTAAAATAAAAATAAATAAAATGACAGTGTTTTATGATCTAAAATAAAAATAAATAAAATCTGAGTTTTGAAAGACATGTATAACCCAAAGGGTTTAGGAACAAGGACTGGGAAACTAATTCTAAATCATTGCTATTCAGCTTCAGAATGCTCTGTTCTTCCTACAATAGGTCTACCTTCTGTTTCTGCTGGCATGAAACCTTCATTCTGAGCCTCAAAGAACTCCCACAAATAACATTCCTAGGAAAATGGCACAGTTTAAAAATAACTAAGCAAGATCCCGCAAGCAAGAATCAGCCAGAAACAGACCCAAGGAGACTTATGTTGCTGAAATTATCAGGCACAGTACTAAGACAACTATTCTTTCTATGTTTCTTAAAGAAATAAAAGACAAACTAAAAACACATGCAAGAACAGGACCTAGAAGATCTGAGAAAGGACCAAACAGAACTTCTAGAAATAAAAAATGCAATCCTTGATAGAAGTTCAATGGACAGGTGTACTAGCAGATGAGACGACCTGAAGTGAGAATGAGTAAGCCAAAAGATATGAGAAATGAAATTCTCCGGAATGTGGCCCAGAGCAATAAGGAGATGAAAAATATAGGGAAGAAGGTGAGACATGGAAAAGAGAGAGAAAGCCTGAATCTAGCCAAAGATAGGAGAGAGAACAGGGTGGGGGCAATCTTCAAGGAGAATTAATGAGATTCACCAACTCACAAGTTTAAGAAGCCCAAAGAATCTGCAACAGGATAATTAAAAATACATACCCTGACACGCCATAGGGAGAGTTCATAACACCAAGACAAACAAAAAAGTAGCCAGAGGAGGAAAAAGGGGATTTAGGCAAAGAAGTGCCAGTTTGACTGACAGCTGATTCCTTAAAAGCGGCAATGGAAACAAGAGGACAGTGAGTGATATCAATGTTCTTCTAAGAGAAAACAACTACAATCAAAATTCCATACCCAGTGAAAATATCATTCAAGACTGAGGGCAAAATAAAGACATAGTCAAACAAACAAAACACAATTTCCCAACATCTTAATCTAAGGAAATTTAAAAAGACAAAGAAATTTGTAAAATGTGAGTAAACTGAATGAAACATTCATAGTATTAAATAACAGTGCCTTATGAAGTTAAAAAATTTTGTTAGAGGAAGGTAAATGGAATAATGTACATGAAGGTCCTAATATCAGCTGGTAGGAGGGCAAAGATATTGACCAACCGACTTATACCTAAGAACACATGTAATTTCTAGTGTGGCCTAAAAAACAAAACAAAAACAAAAAAACAAAAACAGTAAGTAGTGGGGAAAAACGAAATGACAAAAGTATCCAAAAGAAGATAATCAAAGAAAAAATATGACCCAATCATATGGAAGGGTAGGTCGTAAGGAACTAAACCAGACACCTGATATGTAAATGCCATTATGAACTTCCATTAAATGCCTATAATTTCTAAATATGGAGACCATATTCTGTGATCCTGTTAACTGTGTAAACAGAAAAGTAGCTTCTGAAAGTGACCCACCCTAAGAATTCCAGTTGGCCATGGAAGCCCGAGCAGACTTGCCTGCTGGAACTATGACGGCCAGCTGCTGTCACACGGGTTAGAGGGAAGAGCCATGCACTTCACTGCAGTAACACATGCGACTCTCAGGGTTACGGAGGAGGGAGATCCTGAACCACTCAAATCTTAGTCTGAATTTGACCAAAATAATCACTTTTATTTCTGCTGTGTGACATCTGTGTGTGGACCCCTGAAGACTAAGTCAGAGTGACAACAAAAGAGATCTAGTCTCTTTTTTCCAGAAAGACGACAGATTTTTCCAAACTGTGCCTAGGGTAGACTCTGGAGAAGGAAAGAATTTTAGTTAAGCAAAATTCTAAATCCAGAAGCAATACACAGAAGAGACTGATATATTTAAATAAAATAAAAAATAAAAAATAAAAATAAGAAATAAATATTTCTGCCTGGCAAAATATTTCATAAATAAAGTCAAAAGACAAATCAAGAGAAAATATTTGTAACTTTTATAACCAAGGGCTGATCTCTCTCATAAATAAAAGGCTCTTACATTTAGGAAAAATACCAAAAGGCTGATAGAAAAACAGATAAAGACAAATAGTCTACAGAAAAAGAAAGGCAAATGGCCCTTATATGTTAGGAAAAAACAGTAAGCCTAACT